GCTGGTGTACCTTAAACCGCACTCCGAGATCCCCCCCAAAAGACCCTCAACTTGGCAAATCCTGTGGTGAACCCGCAAGAGACGTCAAGGTCTGCAGTAATGAAAGGAACGAAAGTAAGACTTATTCACTAGGTTTTCGAGCCCCCAAGCTCTAAACTGCACACCCTAGCCACGGCGCTCAGCTACTGCTTTCAAGTCTTTGCCCTTTCACCCTGCCTTTTAAGAGCTTCTGCTGATCTGCAAAGGGAAAGAACTCCAAAAAAGGAACAAGCAAGACAGCAACAAGGCATGGATACTGTAGCAGCCTGCCATTTATCCACGCACAGAATATCAAAGAGTCACCAAACTGTCACTCTATCCTATATCCTAGGAACGGTTGCTACACAAAAATGGGGATGAGAGTCGCTATACGAAGAACAAGACAGGATTGATCCTACAAATTGTGCAGGGGATGCGTGACCATACCAAGGACGAGCCTTTGTGATGCTGACATCCTCAGTGGCACCGAAACATTGAAGCCCAAGGAGTTCGTTGGCGCGGATGAGCATCACACTTGCTGGAACACTGAGGTCAGCAAATGCTAGTATGAGGTTTTGGGGGGGGGCTTATGCTGCAGCCATACTCTAAGGATATACAGGAATTGCTGTTGTATCTCAGACTTCTGCAAATCTAAAAATCAGCTCGATTCCTGGCAAAGCTGAATGCATCTTGGGCCGAAGTTCCTCTGGGCTTTAGCATGCAGTCAACAACAAGGACTCTCGCACGTGTTGTTGCAAGCAAGCCCCTACGCGAAAGTCCACGACTTCCATTCTGGTGAGCAGCAAGTAGTAGGCAGTCCAATTACTGAGCCAGTTGAGTTCTTGGAAGTGAGAAGCATCAAGATCAAGGCAACGATTTGGGTTGACATGATGCCATGTGCTTTTAGTTCAGCCTTCTTGCAAAGCATCGGACTTCTGAAGGATCCTTGCTCACCAGACTTCTACTTGCCAATGTCTCGAAACCTCAACTCAGGCTTTGAGAGCATCTCGTGACAAGCTGGGTGGAAAGTTACGCTATCCCTTTCCAACGCTTCTACCACAACATCAGTGCGCTCAGGACAGAAAAAGGCTAGACGGTTAGAAGGGTAGCGATTCGAGTTGGATCGTTCCCGTCATTCCTTCCCCATCATTTTGCCGTGGTCATCTGCAGCACGAAAGGATGAACCGCAAAATTCTCCTGTGAAGACGGTCTTGCAACCGGTCGCACCCTTGATAATCCGATGTGATCCGTGGAAAACCCTGCTCTATGTAGCTCTTCTGCACATTTCTGAAAGAAAGGATGTTGGGGGGCAGCAGGTGCCCATCACGGCATGCGGCCTCCTGAACAATTAGCATCTGCTGCGCTAGCAACACTGATGACGCCAGTTCTTGCCACCAGGCCGTCTGAGTGAAGAGGACTCGCGAAAACGTCAGAGTACGCGTCAGAGCACTAGAAGCAGAAGTCCATCTCATGTCTGCGCAATTCTTCCCAGCACAGGTTTTTCATTGTTTACGGAAGTGCCGTCTTCACACCCGTTTGCATGACAAGGAGTACTTAAAGGTACGAATGGCAACACCCGAAAAAGAGTAGTGCCCCTCATTCCGCCCAGAGTCCCTGAACTGAATCGACACTCCCATGCTCACCCTCGGGCCTAGCTTCTGCAGATATTTGTGGTCGCGAAGGGCATCCACTCCGCAAATGAAAAATCCCTGGCTCAGGTGCGCGGCACAGGCACAGGACACTCGTAGCAGTATTTGCCATCTTGGCATGTCTCGCATGTAAGAGTCGAGATGACTGCAGTCGAGCGGAAAAAATCGGATGAATCTCTGAGGCTGATGTCGCAACTCCGCCTCATCGATCTTGTGGATGCCTTCATCTGTGCCAACTGGCTTTTACTTGGGTGTTGCGTGCCTGGGGCCAGTTGTGTTTTGCCACCCAGAGCACTGGCTTTAGGCCCTCTTTTCAACTTCTCCCGGTTCTGCTACTGAGGGGAAGCTTGTTAGTAGCGGTGGCGGTGGCAATTGCAATAGTAGCAATAATGGTTGCAGCATCTCGCCATAATGGCAATCATTGCCATACTGACAACGCTGAAACCTGCTATCACCTCCCGCTTTTACCACGGCAACAGCGACTGCTTGTTTTCGTGCCACCGTAACCACCATGGAACTACAAAAACACTGAGAGGGGGCGTGGCAGCAGCAGAACCCGTTGCAGCAGAAGCAGTAAAACTAGCGGCTGCAGCGCTCTTGTGTAACAGTCGGTAACCACGTGTCTTCGCCCTGGGCATGCTTGGTGAGTGGGGGGGAAGATTGAAGGGCGGAAGCGAGCCAAAGAAGGTGCTTTCGACTTAGGACACGATAGCCGACCTGCTGCTTCCTGAGGAAAGCCTGGGAAACCTCAGCAGGTTCTGGCAAGGTCTGAGCCGCCAGCCTTGTGATCTTGCTCAAGCCACAGGTCCCTTCACACTTTTCTTGCCTGCTAACTTCCACACCACCACCGACCGCCAACTCATCCCGGGCTTGGCATGCCAGAGTTAGATGCAGCCCTGGTGCTCTTTCCGGCCCCCATGCTTGCACCAGGCCACGCAGGACGTGCAGTGAGGGTTCTTTAGATCATGTCATGCTTCAGAGTCCTTACTTTTTTGCTGATGTTGTGACATAATGGCAACTGTGGGTCTGCAGCTATGCCATACTCTGTAGCTTTGGCACCTGGTCAGGCAAAGGCTGCAAGTCAGAACAGCAGCGCTCAAGATCCGACCATGAGCCGAGGACCTGCGGAGCGGCCGCTGTTGCAGCCAACATTCACAGGAGGCAGCTTCTTTCAGAGCTGAATGTTTGAATGCTTCAACCTGCCGTGACCTGCAGACTCTTTCGAGCCCAAAATTAAACCGTGGATTTTCACCTGGCAGATCCTGGAACATGCACTTCAAGATTCTCAAGCTTGCTAGGCCTTGGCTGTGAGGCCCTGAAGCACGGAGACTTTCAGCAGCACCATGTCTTTGAAACTACTCACTTCTCTGCAACACTGAAATCAGAAATCTAAACCCTTTCGCGCCAATAACCAGGAACGCACACGCACCCAAAACACAGAGCTGCAATCTGTAACCCCACGGGGGAACCCTCCCAAGACTGCTGGAGAATCGCGGTGTCCATTAACGGCTACGAAAGCTTTTGAAAGTCGAGAAATTCCTATGACTTCTCTGCACAGCCTGATCCCGGGTGGCACAAGTTTCGTGACTCTGCCGGACTCTCGCTTTGCGCCGCCGGTCATTGCTGCAGCTGCTGGCGGAACCTCTGCGACTGCAACCAACCCCCCACTTGTGCACATCTCAAGCGGTTGCAAGAGAGGACGTAAGGCCTGTCTCGGTAAATGAGCTTTGGTGCCGCTGAGATTTGGGGACCTTGTGAAACTAAGTTGTACCTGAAGCTTAGCTTTCAGGGTTGGGAGGCGTTGCCAAACCGAAGCAGGTCACCCTTCATGAAGCCTAGCTTTATGATAAGATCAAATATTGCCTCTTAGGCTGCGCATGGCGGTATTAAGATAGGGGCGTGATCCTACTACCAGCACCTTCATGTCAGGTAGCTGTGCCTAAACTTATGATCATTGATCATTATGGTTTGGGGCTGAATCTGACGCAGCTCTGAATTGGGTGATACAAGCCCTCATTGCTTTGGCTTTATTCCTATATGATTTCACTACAGAAACTACCCCTTCCACGAAGCCCTTCCGCAATCCTTCCGCGAGTAGCGCCTGTAGTCTTTTTTGCTTCCGCCTTCCGCGGCTGCTTCCGCGAAGGTTTTCGGCTGAGTTTTGGGATCTGCTTCTGCGAAAGGGCTTCAAGAACTGTTGATAGCCGGAGTTTCTGAATACATGAGCTTCTGCAAGCCCTTCCGCGAAGAAATGGCTCCGCGGAGCTTCCGCGTCCTTCCACGCACACAGGAAAACCACGTTTTCGGACCAAGATTTGATGAGTTTCTGTGTTGCGCACTTATAATTTATCTTCGCTGCTCTCATGAGCCATTGTACGTCACCCGTCAGCACGCTGGCTGTCTCGTGTTCATGCATCTGCTGCGGCCTTAAATGTTTCATGTGTAGTGTGGCTCCTAGCTCGGACAAACTTCACTCTAGTCAACCCCGAAGACAGCCCTGAGGAATCCTGGACAACACAGACCATCAATAGAACCTGCCGCCTGATGAATCGGTCGATTTCGCTAGCTTTTTGACCACGCGCTGGCTGGAAGCCTGTGAGGCCGTCTCCGGAACCGTCTTCGATGGCGGCTTTCCATAACGGGGAAGGAGAATGCACAAAGAATCCTCGTTTTGGATCCACATGCATCATCCAGGGGCCCTGGGCTTGAAGCTCAAGTGTGAAGGGAGTGATATACAGCCCACAATGAACCAAAATGAAGTCCTCAAGAAGACTGTTCTGAGAACAATCCCCATTAGAAATGCTCCCAATAACCCCTCACACTTGATCATCAGTCGGGATAGCCTAAACTACTGGTCGTGCCACTCACTCGAGTTGAAACGTTCTCTTTGCACGCTTTTCTGCTGCATGCGTATGAGGTGTCCCTTTGAAGCAGCGCAGCTCTTTGCGTGTGCTGTCAGTCTTCTCCATGGTAGGTGCCGGCAAGATTTGAGAAAGTCTTGGCGAGGTTACATAGGTTACTCCACGTTGCGAAATATGTTGGTGCTTACCGCAGGTCCAGTCCCTCTCTGAAACGTGTACTTTCCTATGGCCTGGGTGGGTAGGAAGATCAGCGTCTTGCGCAGGCCACATTGTCGTGCCAACATGCTTTGAATTGCTGTGAAGTACACCAATCCAGGGAGAAATCAAATTTGACGAGCGCAGACTGAACTACATCTTTGGAGTTTACAGTGCTTGTTGGGCTGCAGTTTGAAGAGCTGGCACTATCCTTCGGCAAACTTCAACTCATGCTTGCGCCGTCCTGCTCCCAAGAGCCACTGTCAAATGCAATGTCCTACGCATAGCCATCGCTCACTTTGGCGGCAGCATTGAAGGATGCCTCATCTCACAGGATTCATGAGTCAGCCAGAAACAACTAACGGGCTGAGCACTCATCCTCAATAATCTCTAAGCACCTGTAGAGCTTACAGTTTGCGGCCTCAATCATCAGTCCGCATCAGTCGGGACTAGGTAGGCTCCTCTTGGGGGCCCTCGTCAACTCTATGGTGCGGTTGAATACCCGTGTCCATAGGGATACCTGAGAAGCGCCTGCAAGTCAGGATGATATGTACGAGACTGCCTCCGATGTCCCAAAACTTTCCAGGTGACTTATGCCCTGCAAAAAGGCTGGTGCGAAGGAGCTACGCGGCACCGATGACATGTAGCTACATCTCAAACAGCAGTCCTTCTTCTATACCCGTGCAGAAGATGGGGGCTATCCTGAAAAATCTGAAAATCCAACCCCACCTTGCACATGCGCGATTGCCGGATCACCACAAGCATGCAGCTGACCATAGCTTACTTTCTCTCCAAATCAGATTAACCGGGAACCAGTCGGGCCCATGAGTAATCTGAAGAGCTTACAGAAGGATGAACAGACATCTCGCTCAAGTCTGTGTCAGTGAGTATGACACACAGCTTTGTGCGCAAGCAAGGGAGTAGTACATCCCATTTCGCGCCCTCTCTCCCTGGAGACCAACAACATGAAAACAAAAAGTATAAATAGATCTCCATCAACTTACTTGCCTGCTTCTTCTCCACGTGTTGCCCAAACCACCAGTTCAGGATGATGTTGCCTGGGGCGTAGAGAGAGGCAGAGTTTGAAGTCAAAGTTTCAGAGCCGAAACAGTTTCCAGTTCCAACATGCGGCGCGCGACTCACTACGGCAGGCCGGGCCAGCTCACGGGAAAAAATGAGAGATGATGCGTTGTCAACGCATCGGCAGCTACTTCATCGTGGATGTGCTGAGGAAACATTCCGAGAAGCTCCATGCCTACATCCGTGAACCCTCGTCCCCAAACGCTGCATCTCAATCTCTGAGCCCAACTTGCTGAGCGGCGATCATCTGAGCCTTCCACCTTAGTCCGGCACCCAGGATACATCACCATTACAGGTTGCTGGGAGGACACACCTCTAGCATCAGACAGACTCTGTTCCCAGCACTATCTCCTGTCGGCCAAAAGTCTTATCGCGTGGAACTTCCGCAGTAGGCTCACAAATCGCAAACAAAGTATCCTCGGTCAGATAGTGCATCCCAAGTCTGATCAGAACAACCGTCTACCATGGGACACCAGAGTAAAGTCTGGCACGGCGGGCTTTGCTTTGCTACGACCTGGTCCTGAATCAACTCCTTTACTTTCTTTTTTCTACGGCCAGCCCGCACATGATGCGCTGGCAGACCTGCGCGCCACTGTGCTACTAGTGAGAGAGCTACGAGTACCACTAACTACTGGTTCTACTACGCTCTATGAGAAATACTTGAGGGGCAGCAGTAGCAATCGTCATTCTACTCCTACTCGTACTCCTCCTGCTGCTAGTAACCAGACAACAACCGGTATCAGCAGACCACACAGCCACAAGCAAAATTCCAACAGCACTCGTCATAGACGGCTTTATTCCCTCCTAAACGCAACCATTTCAAGACTCCTATGAACACACGCTACTCTGTCGACTCTCTCCGATGACCTCTCCCCATTAGAAGCTACATAATGAAGATGCAGCCACGCAGTGCCACCAGCAGGCAGGCAAATAGAGCATGTCCTTGTCTTTGGAGAAGCTTAGAGGGGATTTGGGACCCATGACATGTGGCAGTGCAGCTTCGGACTTATCAGAGAAAAGTGGGCTTGCCTAGGGTTGGAAGTGAGAGGGTGGACCCAATCGCGGCCGTCGGGCCCCCTTGGTATAGTAGCCATTTTCCTGTATTGACCCTGAACTGATAAGTCTGCGTTGCTCCCTCTGCCCCCCAAAGAATAGTAATTCTCCTGCTGTCCTCAGCCTGTGTTGGAAGATCATGGCGAGAAGAAACGCTTGGTGCAACGAATAGATCATCCATCAAGCACAAGGGCCCTAATTACAATTACCGTGCCAAAACCTATCTCCAAACTGGTAAACCACCCTAGATCTGAACCCCACTCCACTACAGCCGACGCTCACCCCGTGACCAGAGTGCCACCCAAGGGTCTCCCGCCCGCACCGTCACCTGTCCACAGCGTCTCGACTCTTTTCGAATGCATTTTCAAAATAACTCAAGGAAGCCCAGACTGAACATCCTTTGCTTTCTTGCTTTTTGAGGTTTTGTCTGGTCTGCTGGTGGACGCTTAGGGTCTTTGCCACTGATGGTCATGGTCTTTCTATGTCATTCTCATTCTGGTTCCACTGAACCGAACATGCGATGCTTGTGTTCCCGTGCATGCTCCAGGCCCTCAGGGTTTTGTTGCCACGGGCTTCATCTGTCGGGGGCATGACAGCGCCATCAGGGAAGATTATCATTGCTTTGGCTAGGTACGTTTGTGCAGGCCAGACAGGCATGCAAAGGCGCTAGCATTGCAATGCACTGACTTGTACGAAGAGGTTGTGGAGGGAGGCTTGCATGAAGCAAGCAGGTGGTAGCTGTCAACGCCCCAAGTATGGATGTCAGGTAGGTTCCCGGCAAGGACTCAATTTCAGAAGCTCTCAGGAAGTCCCTACCAAACGCCCGTTTTTGGTGCGCCTGGCAACGTTCTTCATATCAAACATTCGTCAACAGTCTTGTTCTGAGGAGGTACCAGCCTCGAGCACAGTGGCGTGCCGCAGCAGCGGGTATCGCAGTTTATCCTCAGGGCCCAGCTCCTGGGCATGGGGCGCTTGGTGGCTCGCTATCAAGAGGGATACACCTGCATTCCGCACTCGTGGGTTTTAGGGATGACAGAGGACGAGCAAGAAAGGATAAATTGTAGAATCTCCTTCCGCTTTCTCTCTTTGTTACTGTGGTTTCTCCCACTGTCTACCTAGCTATCCGTCTAGCTACCTGCTTATGTATCTGTATGTCTATCTACCAATCTGTCTGTTTGTCTATCTGGTACTTGGTAGTGTCTGTACGATGTCTATCTATTTATCTTTCGCTCAGCCCGCACCACCTCCAGGACCCTTATTTAGCTCATGAGCTTATGGTCCCAAACACACTCGAACTCCTGAATCTGTCAGCTTCCGCAGCACTGGGCGGACCCTCCTCTATATTTCAGACACAAGCTCTGATCTCATAAAGCTGAAGCACATGCAGGCAGGGCGGGCAAAGGCTCCTACTGTGACCTTAACACGGACTAACTCAGGACCTACCTAATTCTCACCTAGATATAAGCTGCTTGAGTCTCTCCAACGAATGCATTTGAGTAAGACAAGTCGCCTCGTAGGTGCGGAATGGCAAGATGGAGGATCTCGAGAAGTCAGTGCTCGCACCCCTGCCCAGCAAGAGAGCGGCTGAAAATGAAGGGTCCACCATCCGTGCAATTGGGTTCCTATGAACGGATCCAGCAAACACGGTGACCTCCGGGCCCTGGAAAAAACTTCTAACCAGCCCTCAATACTGAACCTCAACCCTTCGACCTTCAAACCCAAACCTAGATCGACATTGAGCCCAGCCTCAGTTATTTGCAACCCCGGAACAATCAATGAGCACGATCCTTGTTTCCTAGACTCCCTCTTTGAGGTGTTGGGTCCAAGCTCCCGAAAGGCTGAAGTCGGAACCGGAGATCAAACAATCCTATTCTGTCTGGCCTGTCTTTGGAGATAGGGTAGACGTACCTGACGCTTCAGACACGGGGGACATGATTTCAATGTGAGGTCTCGCATGGCGCATTCATGCCACAAATCACGTCGTTGAGAGAAAACTCTTCTGCAAGAACGAGGAACTCCACTACAGAATCACAATTGTCATCACAGTGCACGAACTCCGGACACTGACACCACTTCAACAAAAATGCCCACATGTGCTCACGTGGCAGATGCAGACTCCGGCCTCTTACGAATGTTGGAAGGTTTCGAAAACATCAGTTGCAATGACTTTTCGGCAGTCCAGGCCATTGGTATCAACTGCGCTGGGGCTTGGGGCGCTACGATGCTTACTGGCAACCTATGAGGTCCTGGCGAATCTTTCCGCGCCTCACGGCTCCTGAGTTACAGACTGTCTATGCATGAAACCTCTGCGCTGAGGGCTCCAAAGGACAACGAGGATTCGAAGGAGCTCTGCGCTCAAGAGGCAAGACCCAGACCCAAGACAGCGATGGCCCACAAGAAATTCCAACAAAGGTAATATCAAGCCCCGTCGGCCTTGCATCACCAGGGGGATACAGCCACAGCCGCTTGGTGCCACAGATGCAGACCATAAGATTCCTGGGGTTTAGTTTCGTCTCATCCCAAGAAGCTGTGTTAGTCAAAAGGGTTAGGATGGAAGTGTCTCGGGACTTTGCCGGTTATGACAACAATAAGGCTCGCTCCACTCGTTTTAAGCTGAGATTTCAGTGAAGTTGGAGTTTGCTTGAAAAACTTCTCTATCTAATCCTTCGCAAGGGACCGCACATAACTCCTTCCTAAACCTTTAGGCTGTCTAATCCTGAGACATACACTCCAAGAATGCCTGTTGTTCGAAGAAGGGGATCTCGTTCGCAACGCTCACCATGGCCGTGTACGTTCGGATCTGAATGCAAGCATGTAGAGACATGCATGCACAGGTCCCCAATTGCATGCCTTTCGGCCTGGATGCCATTTCGCAGGTACCCAGGCCGCAATACGGGATGGTGCCTTCTGCTTGCATTTGCAACAGGCACATGGGTCCTGTAGCAATGTGATAGTTTCCTGGAGGCCGTCTGGCTCAAATGTTGGGTCACTGATCAGTGCCCCTCCTCTTCCTGTCCTGATGACTACGGAAGCCCATCGGCCCCTCAGACGGCCCGCAACAGGAGCCTGTGCCTTTTTTAGCTCAGATTCGCGCAGAAAGGTCTGGAGCATTTACGGGACCTAGACGGGCCCCTCCTGCAGGGTGTTTTTGTGCATGCGCATCCCAAAGAACATCACGATCATTATGTCTTGAAATCTGATAACCTGATTAAAACAGCCTGGCTGTGCGAGCAAGGCGCTCATGGCAGTCGTAGTGGACCTTGGCTACAAAGGCCTCCTGAAGATATCGACCCAAACCTAGACAGCGAAGCAGCCGAGACATTGCCATCCTCTAGTCAAGCCGTCGACTACGTCATCCCATGACTGTGCTTGCAAGCCCGTGGCTCGTTAAAGCAACGTGTCCTGGACACCAGAACAGGCAGACTAGGCGCCAGATCCATTACAACGAATGATCCCGAAAGGGCCCACTAGAGTGGCATGGAAGGAAATTCGACAGTCTAACAGCCAGGACCTTGCTTGGTTTAAGACCTGAAAAAATCTGGACAGGCTGCTGGGCCTGTCTATTTATGCTCCAAAAGGTAAAGCACTCAAAGCAAGGCATTCAGAACTCCATCGATCTACGGCTGTGGCCCCCTCAGCTTGCAATGCAGCTGTGTGCATGCAGGACGAGCTGCCGACGTCGAGTTGCGGCCACAACCGAAGTATGTGAAGACGCCTGCCACAAGAGTTAGCGGTTTGTGGGCTGTTTCCTGAACCATCTCAAGCACTTCAGGAGTTGCATCCAGGTTCCTGAGATTCCTGGAGCAACAACTGCAAAGAAAGACGGAATTTTGCCGGCCCGCTGCCACGCGAGGAACATGGACTTCCTTTTTGATGGACTGGGGTCAGTGCGGGCGTATATTGCGAACTGAAGTCATGGTTTCCCAAGGCAAACAGCCCAGTGCCCCACTCCTGATGCATCTGTGGCAGTAGCTTCAAATTGCTCAAACTTTGGCTGGGCACCGTGGGTAGCGACACATTCACAAACGTGGAAAGCTTGAACAAAAATCAAGAGGCATGGCCACACTGACACAACAACTCGGCGAGACTCGCATTCTTGCTTTTCAGCCCGCAGCCTGGACCGGAAACCTGGCAACTATACACGTGTTGCCACACAGCAAAACAGAGCCTCCGTAGTTCCTGTGTGAGCTTTGACGTTCGAAGTCCACTTCCAGCCCCCTCACCCCCGCCCACAAACCGGAAGCCTGAACCAAGCTCCATGTTTTTTTGTGTCCAGTCCATGCTCCTTCGCCCATCACGCCTTCTGGAAGAAGATCACCGAAGCATCCTCCGTAGTCCTTGGCTTGCAACATGCTGACGCTGGTTCCACGTAGTAGGAATTTGCTGTGCAACCCTGCTTTGAAAATGAAAGGCTCGCATAGAACTGCAGGCTCAGAACTTGTGAAAGCACCTAGAACACAATCAACGTTCAACAGCACGACTAGATAGAAGTTGCCAAAACCTGAAAGCCATACCAACAAAACATTTACCAAAATTGCAATGCCGCACTTACCTCCTTTTACCACGATGGACCCCAAACTTGATTCTTTGCAATTCCTTGTAGATGTTTCATACATCCGAACCGTTGACCCAATAATGCAAAAACGCAAGAACGCATGACATATATCTGTTGCAAGCGGGAGGGGCTGTGATATCTGGGGGTTCAAAACGGTCATGATCAGCACAGTGACACGAAGGAACAAGGAAATTTCAACCTGAAAATACAAAAGGAAGGACAACCACGAGATTCATCATAAGACTCATGATTACACACGGCACCAAAACTTCGATAAGGGGCGGTCAAGGGCGTGCGCGCAGCTGATTCAATCTCCTGTCTTCACTACGGCTGGGGTCAACCGTTTGTGGACACCAGTGATTCTTTACTTCTTTCCCACAACAAGCCGAAACACTGTGTGCCTCATTACCTGAATTGGGAATCTCCTCCAAGCTGTGGACCCCATATACACCCCAACACAGAAGAATAGACCCTCCTTCCAGAAACTTCAGAAGAGGATCCACAATTTTGGGCACTCTCAAGGATCCAAACACTGCGCGTAGATTGATGGCGGTTCCAAAGCATGCCAGCAGGGGTTCTCAACATCCTGGAAAAGTTTCACGAGTTGTTGACATAAGGAGGAGGTCTGAAAACCGATGACAGCTTCTTAGAAGAGAGCGTGGGGACCACTTCGCGAGGCAAATTGCCACGTACTGAGCCCTGGGCTGCAAGGTCAACTACGTGCATGATTGAAAAAACTGAAGCACCGGAAGAGATGTTCGTAATTACCTAAAATCAACGACCGCTTGAACTAGCCTAAAGCTGGCTGCAAAAAAACATAACACACCAGAACCATCCGAGACCCAGTACAAAAACATACTGCTTGAATTTTCTTACATGCTCCTCCTCAAGGCTGCCGGTGGATGGCAAGCAGCCAAGTACTCGTGACCAGGCGTTCCACCCGCCCAAAAAAAAGAAACAAGGGGCTGGTGTGATGTTAGGAGACCTGGGCGACTAGCGTCCTGGAGGGTGGCATGGCACAACACAGTTCTGAAATACCACTATGATCCAACTCAGCCCACCCAGCTTCCGTATGCGTCGCTGCGTATCATATTCGCAGGACTTGCAGCAAGACATGGCGTGGAAATTAAGCGCTTGGCGTAGCGCAGATTTTCGATACCATCTTGTAGGTTGGCCTGGAACCCCAAACATCCTGCCCACAAACAGTCACACCTTTCGCAATCACGTACTTCAAAAATTCCCAAAGGCATATGCATAAACCTCCGTGGCATCTTGCGAAACCTCGCTAGATCCTGCGAGGTCTTGTCAGCATCCTGTTCAGAGAATACTCCATACTCATGACATCCCACTACTGCAACTGCCTACGAAGTCGTCCGAAATGAGCGGCAAACCTCCTAAAATCCTGCAGATGTCCGGGCAACCCTGTGAAATTGAGAGAAGAAAGTACTGTTCGTGTTCTATTAAACCCTAAGATATTGAAATTTGGCAAAGTACCATGATGTCCCAAGAATCATGAGAAAAACCAGTGTGCAACCCAAACGGCGCAATGAAATCACAAATGAAATCTTCTCCTGTAGAAATGCCGGGAAATCCGATGAAACCCTTGCTCCTTTGCCAGCTCTGGCAGCTCTGCGCGCAAAGGCACCTTTTTCAGTAGGACCCTTCCTGTTGTTTTCTCCCTTCGTGGGCTTGAGAAGCTGGGGATATTGCGAGGGTCGCTCAGTTTTGGAAGCTACCCTTCAAGATGGAGAAATCAGTTTGCGTCGGCCTTTAGTGTTCAATGCGACAGTATGGTCAGGGCATCGCGCTTGGGGTCCCCGTATGTCCCCGTGGCAGGTGGTTTCATTTGAGGGCATTCAAAGGCAAAGGTAGGACCCTTTTACAGGCCCTTGACCCTAGCACCCCCATATATACTAGTAAGAACTTACCTTCGCCTTCAAGGTTCCCTCTCACCCCGAAAAACCTAGCCAGACGATGGTTTACAAAGGCACAGCACCTGGTTTCCGGGACACTCGCATAGTGCCGAGGAAGGCCAAGGTGCACCCATTCAAAAGAATACCAAAAAGACTGCGAGGACACAAAACCATACAGCAAGGGCTCAGGACACAACGAGCGATGGCAATCTTGAGGGTGGCACGCAGGAAAATGCTCGCACCGGGTCATGGAGAACAACTCTGGCTGAACCACATTGATTAATCCTCACAATTATTTGGAGTGCTCTGCCTGACAAAGTTTAGCTGGCAGGACAGCTAGTAATGTGTGTAAAATTGACACCGCTACTTCATCAAGCTCGCAAAGCTCGAAGAAACCGGTGCCACTCCCATGGAAGCCCGTCAAGCTTGACGGAAGGCTGCCTTCCCAAGGTAGAAGGGCATTGCCGTCCCATCCTTCTCGCAGGCCTTTGGCTGCAGTTACACAGATTGGCATCAAAATGCGAAGCTCGTACCTCGTACTTTGCTCGAGTTCCCTGGCGCCTTCACACTCCCATAGGTAGTACCTGCTTGCCGTGCCCAAGAAGTCTCTCTTCCAGCTCAAAAGACCTTAATTACATCCAAAGACCAATGATCCTGTTTTCCCCATGAAGTGCTGATCTTGCGAAGATTCCCGACAACTCACACATCCTTGCAGGTGCACGGCCCGGCGTGTATCCTTGAAAACACCCATAGCCAACCATGCTTCTGCACCCTCATCACCCTAGTTCAGAATGCTGTACTTGCATTCCTGGTTTGCTCGTATCACAACGCAAACGATGGGCGCAACTGTCAAAGATGCTCCTATCGCACCCAACAGAAGCTACCACAGAATCTCCAGGGGCGCCTCAACCTTTTTTGAGACCCACACACCCCTATGCCTTAGAAAGCCCAAGCCATACTAGCACAAACCCCATCACCAGAGACCTAGGACGAAACCCCTGAACCCACCCCTAAGAACCTCAAGACCCTTAACACCGCAAAAATTGTGCCTCAACAGCATCCAGGTAGGCAGCAAAAGGCAGCTTTAGCTCCTGAGGCACGTTGAATCTGGAGAATTGTGGGCTAAAGGTTTGGGATTGAGTTGTGAGTTTTCGGCTCTGAGGGCCTGAGCGCTTGACAGTTCCAAGGTTCAAGCTTCTTAGGGTAGCATCGCGCTCAGTGGGCGGTCTTCAGAAATTTGGATGATCCGGTTCTGAAGGGCATCTCCCAAAACATGATTCATCTTCTGATAGTCTGCAAAACTGGAGTTGATGGATTCGACAAAGGAAGGCCCTCCGTCGTACAGCGGCCGCCGACTGTACAGGAGTGCTTGCAATGGATCCCAGACTATGTTGAGAGACACCATGCTTATTAGCATGCTGAAGAAAGAATGCCCACGGTGTAGCCGTACGACGTCAAAAGAGGATGATGTCAAAAGTGTCTCACACAGCACATGACGCCAATACAGCTGTACAGTCCAGGCACATCCTACATCAAATGAAGCGGAAAGCTGTTGATTCCTCATTATTGCAACTTGCCCATGGATCAAAGGTTCATGCAGTTGGTAAGGTACTTTACATTCGGCGCACCCAGCAGCATCTAGCTGGGCCTACTACATGTGCTGAGGGCAGCCACTATGCGCCTTAAAGGGTTCCTGAGAATGTAAATCATCAAACGCCAACGTAAAAGCCAGACATAGAAGAAGTGGGATCTACATGGCAAGTGCCAGTGGCAGACTTAGCATTCAAAATCTTGCGGCCACGAAAACCGCAAGGACCTCAAACTGCCTGAAACCCCGAAAGCTCGGCAATGCCAGGTAGCAGGGTCGGTCATGAACTGGGCACGTCCAGCTCCATCCAAGAAGCCGAGGCTCTTCACCAGCACCTCGTTTGGATTTTGCCGAAATGGCTTGTGATGCGTATGGGAAGGGATACGTCATACTAAAGTATGTCTGGCAGCTTCTGCTTCGCGGTGCAGATTTCTTTCTGGATTTGTGATTTTTCCACACCGTATGTTCTAGCTGTCTGAAACGAAAGCCAATCTCACCTCAGCAAAAGCTGATTCTCCTAAAGAAAATTAGCAAATACTGCGGACACTCTTCACCCACTTATTGCTCGTACAACGCTTGGCAGCGCTTGTACAAGTCCAAGATGCCCCGTATAATGATGCCCGGCAAAATCCCAATCTTGTGTACACAGATTCTCTCCGACCATGATGTTGGACCTCCTTTAGTGTTGGGGGCCCTCTATGGTGTGTTTTGGGCCCCTTACTGAAAATCAAATGTTTTTTTGATTTATGGGTGCTAAGAATACGGGAAAGTGTTCACCCCACTTCGATCTTAAAAGGCGGCCAGCCCTTTTAACAACTCGGCCTTCAGAGCTTTAGATCCACAATCCAAATACCAAATCCTAACCCTTCACCCCACCAGTTGTATCAAATATCTGAATCAAAACCTTAAAATGTTTAGCACCAAGCATTTGGGCAAAGGAAGTAGTTCAGCAGGCCAATGGATCCTCATTAATGCTCGCGGTTTTTGTTGCCCTCTTTAATCTGTCACCCCTGGACCCCTGCAAGTTTCGAGGCTTCAAAAGATTTCAAAAGGCAGCCCTTTCAATTCCTTTCCCACCTCAGCCTTCAGAGCTTTAGATACGTGCAAATCTTAAAACCTTCAGCCCACCAGGTTTATTTGACAGCCTCATTCAAAACTTAAGATTGGGCCCCTATTGTTAGGGGGGGTCCCCCAACACATTCATCTCGGAAAAAGGCATCGAAATCCCAAGCTCCGTTATCCTGAAACCGAAAACCCAAAAGGCTTCCATGCCCATCGACTCCTGAATTGATTCAAAATGTTTTTTGTTGTTTTAAATTGATTTCTTGTTTTTCCTCGTCCTAATCCGCAAAAGCCCACACCAGAGCTCGCTTCCATCTCAAAGTGCGAGAAAGCGCGCACAAGAGCTGAACGATTCCGTCTCGACGTGCGAGAAAAACACCCCACGCGAGAGCTAGAACCCGTTTCGAAACGCGAGAAGACTCCCCGTGAGAGTAAGACTCCGTCTCTCAAGGCGAGATCTTTGCTGTAAGGCCATCCCTGCTCTGGAATACTTGCAAAAGAGGGGCTCTCCGATGCCCGCACTTTGCGCGCAGTGCTGCCAGGTCTGCTAGCGACGAGGCCGGGGCGAAGCTCTCAGCCCCAAAGGCGCCGCGGAGCACCTCACTTGTTTGCTTTGCACAACTTCACAATTTACTGAATACAAGGGAGCAAGGCTGCTTTTGCGGGGTGTATGGGGATCCAGTTCCGAACGCGGAGGCTAGCAGCCGCAAAACTTACCGTTGCAAGATACCTCAACTACTGCAATGAGTCCCTGAAGTTGCCTTGGGTCGTAGCGCTGCTCTTTAAAGTCATGCGAAGACGTAAGGGACATGCGCAAGACATGGAGTGACCTGCACCCACCGGCATGTGGGCTTCTCAATGGAAACACACCAGCAATGATTCCAAACCAGATTCCGGAGACAAAAGTTGTGCAGGTATGCTTTGATGCGTCGGATAACGTTTGACTTTCAACGCAAGACTCAGACTCATTTCCACGCTGCAGCTACTAATCCCTAGGTCCACATGCCGGCAAGCCACGACAGGCGCAGCTTTCATCACATATTGGCGGAAGAACTCATCCGCTGATGGCGCCTGCTGCAGAGCTGATGCAGCGCAAGTTGTCTGAATGTATCTGTTTGCAACCTACTCTACAAGAAATCGCTAGGCCACAAAGAAGGTCGACATGTAGTCTTGGAGCCCGTCTTTCTGCTGCAGTCACAAAAGGTGGTGTCTTCAATACACTGTGTTGAATATCCCATGCTATACCGCGCTTGGCTTGGGTGACCGCAATCAAGGTATCAGTTTGAGCAAGATATGTCCTGGTCCTGCCTCTTGAACCGGCACATGAAGGTATGAACACGTGTGGCATGATACGTTTTACCTCACAATGAGATGATTCCATTTCACCTCAAAGCGCCTGCTCCAGCACTGGCACATTGCTGGGAAGCTGTCGGCAACGCAGCAAGTCCACGTGGACCCCAAGCTGGGCCATCCTCGGCAGATTGCGCGCAACATGGGCAAAGGGAAGACTCATGAAATTGTTGAAGCGTCCCGACCAGCGTTGCGGTTTGGAGTGGGATGATGAGTCGGAGGCTTAGGGATGAGGACTTTATCTTGCGGGGCATTTGGTACCTTTAACGCAGGGCAACGTATGATTTTGCGGCTCTGACTTCCTATGAGGAAAGGCTATCCCGTGACGGTCATGCCATCACGCAATCTTGTTGCAATGCGCTGTAGGATCTAATATCGTTTTGCTGATTGCTCCAAACTGGAGTGCCTCTTTTAAAGTGTGCCCACCTGCTACCTACCCACCTGGAAGTGTCAGCGTGAAAGTGATCAGAATTTGAAGGTTTGCCAAAAGTAGGGGTACCGGGTACCATTTTGGGGGTCCCCATACTAAGGCTTATAGTTTTTTGGGGTCCATATTAGGGTCCCCTTCATTCATGTATGGAAACTACCATTTCTTAAACCTGTAGCAGTCAGGGCTTCCTTGCCTGATTCAAGCATTGGAAGGATTGCAAACCAGGCCAGGCTTGAGGACTCCACTTCTAGAAGGCGTTGCAATCCCCTTCCCCTAATATTAAACCCCCCACCCCCCCTAATATCATGCCCAATATAATATGATGCACCACAATGGGGAATTCATAATATTAAGGGGGGTGGGGAGGTTTAATATTAGGGGGAGGGGTTTAGAGAACAAAGGCCACAAGCAATTTCCCAAGAGCCCCTGCGGAGATAGATTCTTTGAGAGAGATTTGGCCAATCCAACTCCACTTGCTTCTCCAAGGGCCCCCGCTCCGAAAAAGAATTGGGCCGGGGACCCCATGAGTTCTGCTTCCTGAGCCCCAAAACATAGATGCCTTCGGAAACTTCCTTGAACCCTGCAGTTGAAGCCTTAAAAAACACATTCCCACATCTACAAGGGCAGATCAAGGCCAAGGGACCTGAACATGCAAAGGGCCGCGGGAATGGGAGCGCTTTTGACCTACGTGTGCAGGGTTGAGACTGGTATCGTAAGGAGTTATGACACAAGATCGAAGCAAAGAATTCCACAAAGGTTCGTAAGGTGAATAAGGGGTAGCACCCTACAATTCCAGAAGACCTGCTAGGACTGGAGCTGTGACAACGCCTTGCCGAATTTGTCCACGCCATGCGTGCGCAAACCCTGCCACCAATACGCAGGGCCCGTAGGATCCTGTGGGGCTTAAGCTTTATCAGAGTTAGATGTTCAAGGTAATAAAGACCAAGCAAGCAAAAGGGGCGAATGGTTAGGACCTCAGATTGGGGTACTCATGAGGTGGGTCGCTTGCTGCAACCATGCCGGAAACATCTGTTCGGACGCGGATTTCCCGAAAGCCAGGTCCCAGCCCTGCACAAGAGGCCAAACAAAACGTCATATTTTTCTGGCAGCATTCGCACTGTTTCCGATGCTTTCTTATCCCGTTTCGGTCCTTCATTGGACCCCACGCCAATCGATGAACAGCTTTGAAATCTCCATGGGAGCCCCAAAAAAACATCAAACTTTGCGAAGCGCTCTATAACCGTTTCAACGCCTCTTGCACATGATATGTGTCCCACTCATCCCAGTAGAAACCGTATAAAGCCCAATCATCAGGGATAGACGTTCAGTGCTGAACCCGTGAATTTGGAACAAGCAGCGTCATCCATCAGCAGCTCTTGCCTCAGGAGCCAAGCTATAGCACAGAGGTGTGGGGCAAGAAGCTGTGTACGGTAACATCCTCAGAGGAACCCTTCTTTGAGGGAGAGCTCCCAGCGTCCAAAAGGAAGGAAGCCCCCAGCCTGTACCCGAAAACATGGGAAGCAGCTGAGACAGGACACTAAAAGCGGGGCTCTTGTTTTCTCTGTCAATTTCGATGCGGTGAGGTTTGTTGCTTAGATTCCCAAGCGTGAGCCCTCAACACCCCAATCAAAGGTCTGTGAAAAACGGACAAGTCCTTGAATATACCTTGGTGCTAAGCGGGTGCTTCGCTGGTGCTGGCCGAATGTGGACTTGCAGATGATTGTTGTGAATCACAAGCTCACATCAGCCCTGAAAGATACCTTTGGGCTTTCAGTAGCTGGGTGTAGGCAATGGGGCTGTAAAAGAATTGGTTCTCAGGGTTCGAAGTTCATGCGACGAGATCTTTCCACAGACAGGAGATGTGATTGATTCAATTTGCTCTCATGCACACATGAAAGGCTTCAAAGATGGGCCTCATATACCCTGAACCCTTAGCCTTAGCCCTTAGGCTTCGCAGGCCTCCAAATCAATGATCACCCTACCCGACAGGCGCCATATCTGTTATGCTAGCTTGGAAAAACATTATCTTCGTCAACTGGACCAAGCAATCGCATGATGCAGGGCAAACCAAAGCTATGTACTATTCAGAGGTGCGACAGCAAGGACCAAAAAACAAACACCTCTCGCCTACCGACGCTTCCCCTGAAACTTAAAACTCCAAGCCCTGAAGCCTGCAAAACTGCTTCTGTCCATGCTGTTGTTTCTTGCTGTTGCTTTTGCCGAGCTGCAGGAAGCCCGCTGCGGCTGGAGGCAAAGTGCCTTTTGGGGGTCCAAATGGTGGTCAGGCTTAAGGCTTTTCCTCAAGCACCAGGGGCGAGAGCATGAAGCAGGTCAAAACCACAACCTTGAACGGTAGCCCAAACTTCCGGAAGCCATGGATGGCAGACGTGCCCTGGCCTTTCGCTGTTGCCGATTCAACCATCCTGCATGAGATAGCCAAGACCAGCAAATTGGAGCAAGGTGTTGTGCAGACAGTTTCCTGGCATTCTGGATGGCAATGTACAGCGCCCAGCCCTTCTCATCGCCTAAACTCTGGACCCTGAAGTTTAAAGTTCTAGTTCGCAGGAAATTCCCACATATTTCTTTCGACAGTCCCCTGGCAAGTCTACTTGACTCCCAAGATAATGCCAAATACGTCTTACACCCCTCTAAAAGGACTCAGAAGCCCCTGCATCCCCCCTCCAACCACCAATGAAGTTCCTGGCTGCTGCCCAATGGCTTGAGGCACTGCTCCCGGAGCTGCTCCTGCAAGGCAGCGTCGCCAGAGAACTTGGCAGCCTCGGACACACGTTCCCCACAACAAAATGTTACAGCGCGGAACTTGTAACTGGTCTACACATTACCCTGTGCGCGCACTACTGCGGCGCCACAAATATGGATTTTCCGCAAAGCAAAGGCATGCTTGCGTTCTTGTTCTAGTTGCGCAAACTCCCTCCTCCATCCCCAAAAAGGAAAGGGCAAGGCGAGAAGGCGAGAAGGCGAGGCAGAGCTGGGAGCCCCAGCCGTCTCGTCGGCGCCTTTTGCCAGCTGCGCTTCGGCAGTACCTAAGGCCCTAGGGTCACTGCCCAACAAGCCCGGATAACTCTTGAAGAGCATGGGAATCAAGGCTACATTGAGCTGTAGGATCGCAGGCATTGATAAAGGGTATATGGCGTAAAGCATTGGCAGGCTTGCGTACTCTGAGGAATGATATGTTCGTTGCGCTGGGGTCGCGAAAAGCCAATCTCAGAACCAATGGGTGAGGGGGTCCAGGACATTATGGTGTTGAGAACTATTGCCTTTACATGTCGCACTGCAGGCAATAAACGCAGATACACTGAAGGGACCATATTGCCAGCAGGGTCTAGGGTTTACGATTTAGGGTGGTTTGCGCATACAGTATCTTGGACAGTCTCCATGCACCTAAAGACTAGACGGCGGAATTGGAATTCCAAATGAGGTAAGGAGAAAGGGCTCCCAGCAGATCCGGGGGCCTTGCAGGGCTGTTCTGGGGATCAATAGAAATAGAATAGTTTCAGCTTTGGTTGAGATTCCCTGCGTGTTCGCTTGAATGTAACTTCGCAGCGTGGCTGCCTTAAACAAGCCCTTCACAGGTTCGACAGTATTTGGCAGCCAGTGACAATGATGACACAAGAATTATGGGTGGAATGCTATTTAACAGCAGTTGTTGAACATGGGCAGCTCTCCCTGCCTACGTTTCAGATCTGCCATGCTAAACTTTCTCCTAGCCATGATCGAGGTGCGGTGGCGCTCCGGCAATGGCTCAATTCCCAGCGCCTGAGGAGGTGGACCTACTGCTCACGTAGATTTAATTTGTTCTCAGGCCCAAGACTGGACGTGCACCCCAAAAATAACCCACGTTCACCGCTAATGAGGGATGGCGGTCTGAGGGACAAAGGGCCTTAAACCCACCGCCAACTCGCGCCTTGCGCGCTGCATTTGCCAAATCCTCAAGCTTGTCGGAGCCCTCGCAGATGCCTTCGAGAAGCTGCTTCAGAGGTTGAAGGGAGCATGGTATACCAAATCCCAGACAGAAGAAACGTGGACTGCAAGGAAGCGAGTCAGTTTACATGGCAGCCAGGGCAATCCGAGGTCTCTCGCCCAAAGCTCGAGGAACCTACGAGACAGCGACACTGGATGTGGCTTGCTGGATTTTGTCGACCGTGCCCAACATGTTGAGAGCAGGTTTTTCCTTTCAGGTCGCAATCTTGGGCTACTGGCCGAGCTTCGCCAGTGGGCTGCTTGCTGCGGATATCTGCATTCTCTCATTAAGCCATCTGAAGCCCTGAATCCCAGCTGAACAATGCAACTCCCTGGCCATTTCAGAACCTGAGCCTACCTTACATCATGCTTGCGCAAAACAAGAACAAGTATGGAGGCGCGCGAAAGTCTAACGTCCAGACATCACCAACGCACGCTCCAGGGATCCTTACCCCTGGCATTGCCTACACTCGTGCCGCACACCTGAGCAGAAGAATTCCGAAACTAAGAGACTGCGCAAACTGCCATACAGCTATCTTAGTTCCCAAGTCCTCACTGACACACAGACAGTAGACGGCCCCACCATTCCATGCACCATCTTATTGAGTGCTTGCAAAGCCAAACTCTGATGTTGGCCGGGCTGCGTCGCTGAACCGCATGCTTCATCAGGTCCACGCCATGTGGGTCTGGAGGCAAACCATACTTTTCCTGGTCCGTCATCATGCGATAACCGTCAACCAATACTTTTGCTGCGCAAGTGCGGCGACCCCTTTCTGCAAAATGTAAGGCTGATCAAGTGGGTCTAAGGTAGCACGGTGACGGTAAAGTGCTTCAGCCTTAAGGGTGGCGTTCAGGGATTGGGTCACCCTCTGAGCAAGGCACACATAAGTTGTTGGTCACCCCTCTGCCTTGAGATCCGTCAGTTTGTAAGGAGGTATCGGAACACAAACCAGCGTAGAGGTAGGGAAAAGCCACATCTCCAATGCTTGGCAGCCCAGGTGCAAGGACAGGCTTCTGCACCTCCAGGACCAGGGGTCCTAAGGCTGCCTGGGTTGGAATTGTTTTTGGGTATCCGTAATACTTACTATTTGTTAAGGGGCCACAAGGACATATCATCAGGAAACAAGTAAGCGACCATGGTACTGTATCTGCTAGATGGTTTGCGAAAAGAATTGTCTCGAGGTTTTCCTCTTGTGCATACGCATACCGCCGCATACCGCGATCAGTGGCTTTGCTTGGCAAGGTTGCTGCTGAGATCAGACTTAGTCCATGCGTGTCTTGCTGTCCTTGCTCCTCAAATGCATCAGAATGGATAGCTAGAGCTCAAGCAGACCCCCACGTGGTATCTTACATTACAATCAAGCCTGAAAATTTCAACTTCGGTTCTTCTCATGCATTGTATGGGGATAGCCCTGGCTGCGGCGCACTGGTTCTAAGACACAGAGTGGTAAGTCTTTGCAAGTGCACTTGGCCGCTTCTGTTGGCATCTCAGGCTGCGTCCAGAGAGGCCTGTGCACTGCTACTGGCTTCTGAAAACACCAGAGCCTCTTCAAAACACCCTGCAAACTTCTGAAGCATCATGCAATACACCACAAGACTCAAGAACACGCACTTTTCCTGACAAACAAGAAGCAGGGAAGCCTTAGAAACCCACGCGTCATGGAACAAAGACATTATGCCAGCCAACCTTTTCTGAACAAGTTCGCCGGCGGCCTGCAATCCCAAACGCTTGCGCGCGCACTCGACGTAAGCCTCCGCAAAGCACGTGATAGGATCAAAGGCATAGGGACCAAGAAGAAAAAGACCGTATGGAAGTTCCTCGCAATAATCTCACTACAGAATCCCTAAGAGGGAACCCGTACAATCTCCTTGCAAACCCTTTATACCCCTGCTCGCATCGGGTTGCAACGGGCCCCTTGATTTGAGAGTCCCCTATATTTTCGAAACACGAGCTGCGAATCTGGGATGGGCGGCCAGCCTAGCCTTAACAACTGCAAGAAGGATAGAACAGCGGACATCCGTAGTTGGGAAAAAGAATTGTGTTGTCAGACGGGTGCCGCAAGTCAGTTGGATTTCATTAACAACACAAACTTTCAGCCAACTGGTCAAGAAAATGTCCTGGCCATGTGCTACAATCTTAGCACTCAAGCCTTAAAGCTATCCTGTTTTGGTCCTTTTCGAGAAGACGGAGCTCCCCTTGAAAGACCCTCATGGGTACGCTTTACAGCTTGAGAGGTCAGGGCTGGGCACTGGGGGTACCAGGTGGACCAGGGGAAGCAGTTGAACTTCAACCAGTCAACTTGTCGCAAAGCTCGTCCTAAGGCTTGCAGTGTAGTGTAGTGTAGTACATGTTGACATGTTGGTAAGCACTGACCTCTTGGAAGCAATGCAGCTATGCTTGCATCTTCGCACCGACAAAAACTTGTGCTGTGATTCAAGCATTGAGATGAACTTGGTTTTTTGTACAAAGTTATGCCTCTCGGATAGCCGTAGCACGCAAAATCATAATGACCCGGCACAATGACGTCTCGCCAAAAATCAGCGTTAGCAAATGCTTCCAAAGTGAGCAGTTTGCCGGGCAGTCACAAGTTCTGGCCCACCATGCCAACGCTCATTTTCCCTAGGCCCAAAAGCTATCCCCAACCGACTAGCATGCCCAAGTTAATTTAAGTTGAGATGACTAAAGCACATGTAGGCACTTGGAGCGTACCTGCTTCAAGGCGCCCTGAAAACCGGCATCCTCATACTTTGCCAGCAGTTCGGCGAGCATCGCCTGTTCAGGAGTCTGACATGGTTCCTGGACACACTTCCTCCAAGCTTGCCTATTTGAAATAAGTGCAAAGCTTGCGGCAGCTTTTGGGCAGTTGCAGTTCATCAGAGGTTCCGAGCTTGTCATCTGAGGATGTGCTGCAAACGAACTGTCCTCAAGACTCAAGACCAGGGCCTCCAAGATCAACGAAGTCAAGATGTAGGGGGTGGGAATCAGACGCGGTCAATGCCTTGAAGAAACTATTTTCCCATGCGATGCTGGTTCTGTACATTGCGCATTCTCCTTGGTCCTTGACTTTCTTCAGCAACAAGACAATCAACGTGGAGGCTGTTCGCCGCACGGATTGAGATTGCTTTCACAGCCTGACTCATAAAGTCTTTTCAGTTCATGAAATGAATATCCCTCAATCTTGTCCTCCAACACTGCCGGTCTGTGTCACGATTGGGAAGCTGCATGAGGAAAAAATTCTTTGGGGGACTACAGGGCTTTCGTATATGGAGAGCTAAAGGTTGAATATACCCAGGCAGCATCCCCAGCATGTTAGCGGGTCAAGTATGGGATTGGCATCTGCCAGCGCGGAAAGCATGGAAAATCGTCTGCTAGTTGCTGAGCACGTTACAACTAAAGCGAGACAGTAGAGGGCACCTCGTCACTCTGCGTTTCTGTACCAAAGACTGGGTCGCTGTTAAGGAACTTAATTTTAGCTTCTATATTGGGGAAACCCTATTATCTACTATAGATACCCGTTATGGTAATCTTAATTCAAGATCCTGAACACCAAGCCTTTTTTTTGCATCTGATCTCCTGAACAGCAAGCCTAAACCATAAACCCCTGTTTCCATGTCATTTACCTTTTTCTTTTCCATTGATTCTCCATTTTTGAGGGGTGGTGCCCCTAAACCCTAAATCCCAAACCCTAAGAGGAACCCAGACAAGAGAACCATGAGCCTGCCCAAAAACTATGGTGGCAGCATGCATTTCAATTTCTGGACTGGGAGAGGCCAAAGAAGCCTCAAACCCTGCTGGGTCGGTATAAGTATTTGTAAACGTTAAGGTCGTCCAATGTCTCACCAAAACTCATGGTCTCATTCCTGCCCCCAATGATTTTCGACTACCTGAACCGAGCTGGATGAAAAGCCACAGCATATGCGACCTCCAGTTGCTCTGCCGGGAGATCATCAGGCAAAGACATGGCGAAGTATTCAACGAAACAAGGCTAGCTGCCACCTCAATCACGGGATGCTGCTCGGGTCACTTGGCGACAGCCAGGGTTTGGGCTTGACCAGTCGGTATTAGTCGGTCTTGCAGGTTGAGAGTTTGCGCTGAGTCTGTGGGCGTTGCTTGTCCATGTTGCCTTGCCTTGGGTGAGCCAGCAACGCTCAGTCTTGGCAGGTCACCTTTCAAAATACGCCCACATTCGCCCCAAAAGACTGACCAAACGAAATTGCCATAGCGTGGTCCTTCAAGGTTCCTGTGCTCATACTTTCTTGACGCGGAGGATTTCCAAGGAAACCGGCACTGTCAGACAGAAGACTGCCCCTCTCCGGAACCCTGAAAACGGTCTATCAATAGCAGTAGAAACCTGGCCTGGATTTGTACAAAGCCACCTGTAGGAAGACCTACAGCAATCCATAGCTTGGATACCTACCTCATCCACCAAACCGTCTTCAGCCGTGCCCCTGTCGTGCCCCCCTAAGCATTTACTCAGTTTCCCAATTTGAGCCCGAGTGCCTCCTTTGAAACGTGTCAGCGCTCAGCCCTTAGGCCTCCCAGCCAAAGGACACAGGCATTGGGATCACAGGGGCAGGCAGGCTGGTAACATTTCAGCGAGCCAATGCCTACAATCCGTGGAACGCGGTTCAGAGACAAGGGTCTCTTTCCCACCTCGAACAAAAGGGGTTTTGCTGCAACGAAGACAGCAAGGCCCACGCCAAAGCAGGCCACACACATCCTACCTAGAGCTACATATGAGTCTCTCAAAACGAAAGGCCCTTTGTGATTATGTGGTAGCTATGAAGGGATTATAGGGCCCTTGCTGCCAGTAAGGATTTTGTAAGGGTGATTCTGAGGAACTCCAATATGCAAGTAGCAGCCTCCTGAGTAAAGCCTAAGCCCTCTACATCTTGAGCATCTTCCTTGCAGCAGATAGACCTCCAACCCTAACCCTAATCAGAGATGCTCACACCTCATGCCAAGGCTCAAAACACTGATGCCGTCCTGAAGGAAAAGAAGTAATGTTGGGAATGCATTGTGCATTTCTCGCTTCTTCCGAAACCTTAGCAGCTTCTGTTCGCTCTCCTTCCTCAGAATTTGCCCCCGATGAGACTTCAGAAATAGGCTGTTCCTGATACTGCGTACTTTTCATTCCTGGAACCAGAACCCACCCAAAGTAGCCACAGCCCAAGACCACAAGCATCTGCCGCGCTGCCCGACATCTCAAAGTCCAAACGAGGCAAGCATTGGCCTCGCGCACGCCAGAAGCCCTCGCCGTAGAAAGCGTAGATCTGGTAGGAGTTCTAAAAGTGGGATGGGATTGGGGGCCGAATTTTGCAGAGAATGAGAAACCTAAATACATTTTTTGGAATGATAGTACGTACTGCTACAAAACTAACCATCACAATCATGATAGTTTCCCTCAGCAATCACAATTATCAAAATCCCTTTGCAGAAGCATCCCTGGAGGTGTCCTTTCAAACCGTCCGCGCAGGGTTTTGGACGCCTCTAGGGCTGAAGCAGGGACTTTGCGATTGTGTGATGTCTTTCTTTTTGGGGTTGGGGGTATACTGGGTCTGGTCTAGACATCGGTCTTGGAGAGGCACCCCTATAATTTCCGGCTGCGCGTTGAACATGATAATATCATATCTTGTAGATACACGTCACACACAAGCTAGGGCCAGGAGAGTCAGTTCATTTCAAGCCCACTCACCGCTTCGGTCTATCTTGTACTGTCTAATATCCATCTAACAGTCCCTTGTGTAAGGAATTAGGGCCCCCAGAACATATATATATATATATACACACACCAGGACAAACCCTTGATAAGATCTGAAGGATACCAATACCTTCAGAAATCACTACGTAACCACGAAAGCAGCACGGCCATTTTTCCGACACTCCACGCAGAGTTGCCCCAGGGTCTTTGGTGCATAGCTTTGCAATGAACCATCGCGTCATAGCAGTGGGCCCACATGGCACAACAGAGTTGGCCTTGTAACCGTCTGATAACATTGGACAACAAATTCCACTCAGCAAGTTTCAAACATCAAAGAATGCCAGATTCTCTGGCACTTAATCAAACTGGCTCTCTCTTGATTTCAAGGATCCCTGACCTGCCATCCTGCTATGGATTGAAGCATTTGGGCGTCAACACAGCTTGGTGCCGCCAACAAAGGTGACCATGCCGGCACTTTACGGGAATACTTGAGAAGATTAGAATCTGACTGGCTACCACGTACAGAACCATGGTGCCGGCGCCCTCGGCTTCCGTAAAAATAAACTAAAGTGCCTGGTTTTGAACTCATGACTTATCCATGCGGCGAAAAGTACGTTGTGGACCCTCTGGCTTGGGGCCAATCTCAGAGCAAGTCCCCAAAGACAGGTCTGTGCCACCCGCCTGTCCTAGACCTAAGGGTCGATCCAGACTTTGAACAGCAGGATTTGGATGGTGATATGGGCCTCCGTGGAGCGCGATTACAATGTCACAGTGCCTAGGCGAAGCTTACGCATCCGGTCAAGATCAGCTTCGGTATAAGCATCACAGGCAAAACTCAGCTTGAAGGCCAGTCTACACGTAGCAAGATTGTGCGATCGAACTATACCCCCCCTTCCATTGCTGAAGACATTCTTCTGAATATGGTGGTGTCCTGGAATCATGGGCCTTCGTTGAGGTGTTTTACGGGTGTGTGCGGGGATGCCAATTCCGAGAAATGTTTTTGAAGTGAGCCAGCATTGTAAGTCTTCTCAACAGGTCACAACACGAACAGTCATGCTGTTCCTGCGGTTCCAATATACACAAACCATCAGCACGGGCTGCTTGGCTATGCTTGGCTTGTTTGAATGTCGAATAGGCGGACCTGCTGGGCAAGCCCTGCTTCCTGCAGCGGAGGCGGGTAGCGACACTTATACGGGACAGGCAAAAGTCTGAGATTGCTTAAAGACCAATAGAATGTACAGCTGGGATTTCCAAACATTTGGGCATAAACGCCGTGATACTTGCCAGAACTCCTACACTCCCAACTCTTGACCTGCTTAGAACTCTGCTGACAAACGTGGCTACCAGCATAACACTCCGGGAATGAACTGTAAACAGCGTGAACACTTTGGGACAACGGCCTCAACGAAGCAAAAATGCTCGGTTGTTTGAAGCTTCTTCACAAGTTCTCAGCCCATAGATGACCTTCAGAAATCCCAAGCTTGCCCCTTCGGGGAAGACAAGTGCAGGCAGCCAGTGCCCAGGTGCGCTGGGTGGTAAAGCGGTCACACTCTCATGCTGTGTCGCTATACCTGGTGGTGGTGGTGGTGGTGCTGACACCTATTCTGACAGAAACTGTATATCAATCCACCTATGTGACCACTGCGCTGATGGTCACGGATAACTCCGGATAATCCGCGATCACTACTGCAGCAGCACTGACACCAGGGTTCCATGCATTTTCAACACCTCTTGTTTGCCTACAGCAATGACCCTACCCCTGTGCTTGCTCCTAAGCCTGCTTCTGCTTCTGCTGCTGCTGCTGCCTCCATCCCAGCTGCTGCCGCCAGTTCTAATATCTTTGCCATGAAACTTTCAGAGCTTTTCTGCGGCTATGCAAGTGCTGCAATCAAAGCGCCCTGGGCTTATGGCAAAGGACAAAGATTTCTTTGCCTGGCCTGGTGGCAAGTGGGTCGCGGAACTTGACGAACCCCATTTCCAAAAACAGTGAGGGAGATTGCCGCAAGGTCCCTTTTGTTGCACTGTTTGTAGAGTTGTGGGGGCCCTTGCGGTGGCTCTCGGAGAAGGGACAGCTGGCAGAGCATCCTCTTTCCGGACGCCGGCGTCCTGATTTGAGGGGCACTAGCTTAAGGGTCGGGCTACGAAACCTACCAACATGCAACATGCAACACCAGGAATGGCGTCCAGGTGCATTTGCAGAAAGGACTTTAAATATTTCACGCCAGCTGCAAATTGGCTTCAGAGAGTTGGAGGACGCCAGGAGATTCCCTCCGGTCGCATTCTGACCTCTCTGGCCCGCTTTGACCGCTTTGCACAATAGTGTCGTGCCCTGTGCTTCTCAAGCTCACGCCGCGAAAATCATGGACCCCTCACAGCCCTTGCAATGACAGAAACTGTTTTTACACGACAAGTGATCATCGCGAATGCTGTGGCTTTTGGCTAGACCGTCTTATTCCACCCCGTTATATTTTGCGCATGTGTTCCGAAAACGAGACCCAAAATCTCAGACAGGAAAATCTCCTGCGCCTGTTAGATTTGTTGAACGTCTTTCAGGCAGGATTCGCCCGCTCTGTTCCAAATGAACTTGAGCCACCATGACCGACATGCTTCCTATCAGAACTAAGAATAGCCCCAGGCGGTGTGAACTTTGATCTGGGAGAGAAGATGAGGCCAGGCCTCTGGTAAGCCCTGAGCAGCGGAAGAGCTTAGAAGCTTTTGCCAAAGATTTTTCAAGGAGGCCGGCCAGTACTTCAAAAAGCGGATCACGTTCGTGCACGCAATCTAGAACAAATTGTCGCAGTGACTACTGGCAGACACAACATGAAAGGGATCGCTGAGCTGGAAATACTGATAACACTACATAAATGACAGAGCATGTTAGAATAGCAGGAATGAAGACAGCAGCAGTGCGACGACGACGACGACGACCACGACCACGACCACGACCACGACCACGACCACGACCACGACGACTGTAGTAGCAGCATCAAGCAAGTAATCGCAGTAGCAGTAGTAACAGTAGGGAGAGGAGCAGCAGCAGTAGCTCATAGGATCCTAAAGGGTGGGGTGGTTCGAGGGGGGAGGGTACAAGGGAGCCTTGGGGAACCTCAGGGAAGCTTAGGGATTTTAAGGGAATAATGGGGATTTGTAGGTTACCTACCCCCCTGGGACCACCCCCCTTAAGGATATCCTAAGTAGCGGTAGCGGTACTTCGCGTTGGTAGCAGGACAAGTACGGGTACCAGCCTGCGTGCTAGTAAATAGCAATCGTATTCAAACTGCCGCCGTGCTTGATACTGTCAATGGTTAGCAATGTTGCAAGCGACGGCAGGAAAATGGGGAACCGTGGTAGTGGCAAGGAGTGAACAAGAACGACCTAACAGTTCATGTCTAACCATAGCGGAAACAATAATGCATGTCAAATCGGCCAAGGATGCCGAGAAAATCCTCAAGAACCGGCCTCACAAGCTCAGCTGTGCAGATTTGTACAATGATAAACCTGCAGAAGACTGCCCGTCATGGAGCGCAGCTTCGTTCGCTGCAGCTCAGATCGAGGCACACCATCAATGAAATCACCACTTCTGTATGCCTGCTGGAAAACTCAGAGAGACTTTGCCGAGGCCGGGCCAGATTCCAAACTCTGCATAAACACCCGCTCAAGAACGAGGGGTTCCATGAAAGTAAGCCGGGAGCCTCAATGGTTAGGTTGTTTCTGCTTGCAAAGCGAAGTCTCCACTCAAAACTACAACCTGGGATCTGGGATTGATGGCCATTTCTCCAGCTCCACCGAGAACAGCAAGGAAACATGCAGGGGGGCGCTATGGATTATGTGAATTAGACTCTTGGATCGCACCTGTGAAGAGCTTCGCCGTAGCAACCTGTAACAACTAGCTGTCCGTTCGTCTGGGATCCTTTAGAACGCAGAAATGCTCATACTCCCTTATCCAGACTCTGCAGCCTAGCCCAGAACAACTGAAAATGTCACTCTGGTCTTTTAAGTTTTGTCTGGACCATGCATTCAACAATAGTATGAAATCCTCCTAGTAATCGTGGACTCATAGCTCCGGGAGACTAATTATCAAATATCTGGAACCTATGAAGCCTAGGTAAGTAACCCTCATGCTATTCCGCAAGCCCTTGTGGCCGGCACTCGGCCTCCTCTGCAGGCCACACGGCCGGAGCGACGACCTAAGCGAGCACGGCGAACTGTGCTGTAGGAAAGCGTGGGGGATTACATGTCGGGGTTTTCAGAGATGTGTTTGGGCGCCTAGGAGCTTCAACACTTACAAACACACGGCCGCAGCAGAAAGCTAGGCAACCCCATCAGCATACTGACCCCTTTGGACACGTTCATCGAGAAAAGCGTCACCCGCGCAATAGGCCTCTGCAAGCTCCCCAGCACTGCTAATAGCCCAAGACATGAAAATCAACGCCGTGGAACATCTTCAGGCGCAAAAACACAACCCGTGACGTCTAGGCTAGGAGTTCAGGGCTCTGGGTTTTGGATGTTAGCGAACATGCTGGTTGGCGCTGTTGGTCTCAGGTTAGCATCATTTGACACTCGATGGTAGGTACACCAACTATTGCATATTAAGCTTGCGGACTCCATTATCTAAAGCACAGCAAAGCAAGAAGGCACCTGAATCCTCCATGCGAAGTATGCCAATGCTTCCAAAGTTGGAGAAAAGACGCACGCAATCCTAAACTCAAAGACGGCCAGACCTATACAAAGCACCGCGCCTGCAAGAGGCAGAAACGCCTGACTGAATTCATCCTCCATGGGGCTCTGGTTTTCAAACTGTCTCCCATTGGGACCTTCCTCTCTGATCAAGGACTATCGGCCTATGCTCTCATTGCAGCCTGTAACTCTCTCAGGCGCGACTCGACACTGAACGGGCGCAACTCTTCAGATATCCTGCAACAACCACAACATCTGTGTCACCCTGAAGCCTTGACCTCTGAGACCCCGAACAGATCCGAACAGAATACAATCAGCTCAGCAAAAGGCAATAACGATGCAGAAAAGATGATCAGAATCCTAGCGGGACATGATCATAAACTCCCCAAGACCCCTAGGGTAACAATAGGAGCATTCACCCCAGACCCTCGAAACCCTAGGTGCCCAGCCCCTCTTGCATCTGGACTCCCACAAGCGTTCCCAGACCTGAATCCAATATGAGGAGCCGCAACCCACTCCACAGGGCCCGGACATGTCTCCTCTAACCACGATCCGCCGCACGCGATCCCCTCTTCTCTGCACCACTGGGCCTGGGATCAGCCATGGATCTCAGGCAGCTTGGAGGCCATGAAACATGATCATGCTAGTTCTTTCCTCTGCTTGTAGGTGATCCTTTATTTAAAAAATCTTCGCGGAAGTAATGTGAGAGAAATAATGAAAGGACTGCAAGGTCTCATGGGCATTCCTCGAGGCCTGGGAGTAGGATTCAGCACTGGTGTGTCATGGTGCGCCTTGGGTTTCAGGAGTGGCTGGTCATTGGGCTTCAGGCTTGGCAGCGACTGGACAGCACTTGGAAGTTGTTATGGCCCTGCTGTGGTTTTTCAGGTATGAAACAAGAGTCCAACGACGGCACTCAGACTCAAAACGAAGATTTCAAGGCTCGACGTTTCCAAGCATGGCCTCGCTCCATCATGCACTGGGTGTGGGACCTTCAGGGCCTGAACAGGTTTGCGTCATTTGCTCGGAGGCACGGAGCCAGATTTGCACAAGAGAGGGTCTGCCTTCGGAACGCTCGCTAAAGCTTGAAGCGGCCACAGCCACATGCCGGCACATGCAAGCGTTGCTAGCGTCAAATCGAGAATCGACGAGGCTCGCATGTGAAAGTGAGAAGCAGCTTGAAAGTACGGATGTTTGTCGGCCCCACACCAGACATCACACGTACAACTTCCTTGAAAGAGGCCTTCGTTTGGGCAAGGAGCTTTGTTGCCCCAGAAGCCTCCACGGTCTGCAACACCTTGTCGATGCCTGTAGCCATCGGGCTGCGGTCTCCCCTAACCTTCTCGCATCATTCCTGTACGTTATAGAGGTCTTGTACTATCCATTGGTGAACTATTCGCTGGAAATAGTCGTAAGGGCTCCTAACTTACAGCTCAGAAGTACACAAGCAGAAATGGCTCGGATGATTTGCAAAGTGTCCGTGATTTGCAGTGGCGTGTGACCTTCTTGCAGGCTGCTATATTCCATAATTACGCAAAGATCCATCTGCGGGATTGAGTTGCTGGTGTGGTCTTCGAGTTTACGAAGAATTAAAAAACCATCCAAAACCCCCTACATACTTTTCACAAATACCTTCAACAGCTCAAGACGAGCCATACAGACCACTGTCTGGAGTACTTGGGTGGTCCAAACAGCACTGGCATGATGAGACTGAACTTTATCTCTACTCTTCGAATTATCTGAGGAGGGATGGCAGGGGATGTTCTATAATCCCACAGAGCGGGCGTTCCCCAGCTCTGTTTTGGATGGCTTGCTGTTCAGGATGGCCTCTGCCACCCAAAAGCTAACAACAAAATCAGCGCTGCTGCTAAATATTGAGCACAGTCTTGCCTACACTCACTGCAATCGATGGTCCATACTCGGCACATTTAGCCAGAAAGCATTAAAGGGGAAAGGTTGGTTCTTGCTACCCGCAACGGCTGTTGTTCGTAATGCCATCAGGGGCGTTCCCACTATCTACTCTGATTTCCTCTGGTCGTGCAGGCTATAGTCATATCATCGTCATGAACACAACTGTGCATGCTTTACTCATCATTCTCAACGAGGTTTACTTCTGCAAGTTAGTTGGCCCAGGAACCCATCTCGAAGCGGATCATGTTGTCCGACCTTGGCTTCTCTGGGACAGCCATGGGGGGGTTCTGATATTTTAGAGAAAGCAAAGAGCTACAGGAAGTGCTGAAATCCAGATTTCATCAGCATGATTTCAAGCATGAGCCCCGAGCTTTCGACTTAAAGCCTCCATGCTCTTCCCCACCCCTCATGCTTGCATCCTGCATCTAAAGCCCATTTTATACTTGCGCAACCCCAGACCCTCAGCTCTGACCAATAGAACCCTGAGAGTTCCGAAAACCCGCCGCTTAATCAGCACATGTTGTTGGCCCAGGACCTCCATGACTTGCTTCCTGAACCCTAAAAAAGTTGTCTGCTCAGAAAGCGGCATGGTGTTCTGGATCTCGGAGACCTTAGCGTCCAAAGCTCCGGTGACCTGAGCCTGGTTGTCCTGGCAGCATGAAGTTTAAGGTCTAGGCTTTAGGGTTGAGGGCTGGGGGAGCATGGAAACTCCCTCTCAAGTTGCTGTGTCAGGCTTTCAATGTAGCAGCAAGAGAGAGCCTGCAAAGGGAATCAGAGGTATCCAAACCTTGTGGTTCGAACAGCCAAGCTACAGCTTCGTACCGGACTGCAACACTCAAATTGCAACGTAGTCCGTCTACTTTCAGGAAGGATCGCACGGCATGTGGGTTCAGCTACAGGCAAATGGAAACCGCATTACGACTCTTAAGGCCGAAGCCTACGCTGGGCTTACAGCTTGCTTACGACATACTCCATCGGCCCCGCACATAAGTTTCAAATGACCTGTCAGTGGCTGCTTATCCAACAGCCTGCCCATAAACTCCTACTCCTTACCCGCCAGACTGCATGTGATGACGAATAGCTCCAAGCAAAATTCGACTGCTTACAGGATACTACAGGGTCCTTGAGCGGCAGCAGCTCATTGCGCAGGGCTTCGCTCACTTGTGCCAGGCCTTGTCGCTGGGCGCTTCCAGGTCAAAGCTAACAGCCACCCCCATGCGTTGGATCCCCACATTTGCCTAGACCTATGACAATCACAGACTGCAGCGTCCGCTTCATCAGCTCAATGAGTCCCACACATGCGACCCAAAACTCAAAAAGCCTGGGCTCCCAGCTCTCTTGGGCAGTGTCCCTCTGCTGCTGGGTCAGAGCCATGGCCAAGGCCGCGAGCTCCTAAAAGAGAAGATGTAGGACTGTTGTAGCAAGGAAAGCAAGTGATACCAATCAGAGAGTCGTTTGCTTAATGATCTTTAATGTTTAGAGGGCGGGGGTCCTGGGGATCCTAAGGAGAACAAGGGTTCGTACTGAATTCCAAAGGTCCATCTTGGGACTGCGAGGACCCCAAAGACATCGAAGGTTTTTAAAAATCGAGATTGCGCATGCTGCGGGACTAGGTCTCATCTGACTACTGTGGTGATGTTGGAGTCCCTTAAAGGACCCTTCGTCAAGCGAACTAAAAAACGGATAAATAGTTTTAAGCAAAACCCATGTCTAAACCATAAGTTCTAGTCCCCCACAACATCTGGCATGCACCTATGTCATCCTTTTGGGAACCACTGTTGCAAACCGCCATGTCCACTGCCCAGGACGTGCTCCGTAGATTCTATGATTTTTTTGGGGATATGTGTAATGAGAGAGCAAAAAGGTCCCGATTCAAGGTTATGTTTTCGGCTCCGTTTTTCACAAGGCCCTGTCCTGGCGGATGTTGTCCGTAATCTCTGCAGTGTCCTGGCTACTCGCTTGCTTTGTGACCAAACTTAGCTTTTTGGGGCTTTTGCCCTTGGCTTGGACGGCCGCAAAAAATCAAATGCCTAGGGCCCAGGTAAGGCGCAGGCGCTGAAGGTATTTGGGCTGCAGCAAGTGCAGGGTCTAGGGCTGCGAAGCACCTGATAGGGTTCCAACTCCTGGAAACACAGCCAGCTATCCAAAACGAAGGTTGGCTGCGAGATGCTGCGAGCCTTTTGTTGGCTTTTATGGCTGCAGTGTTTTGATGCGGGGGCTGGAATTACCATGCTAGAATGAATCCCGGACAGGCTGCAAGAACCTTCCCAAAACAAAGAATCTGGCGCTAGCTAATCCCTAGTACAGCATGCTTTTGCCCAGGGTCACAGCTTTTGGGAGCAACCCCCTTATTTGGCTTCCCTATCTGTCTGATTACGGGATCTACGAATTCCAGAAACCAACCAAATATCCGTGTGCAAAATGCGGGTACATAGAAGACATGGTGAGTGGGGTAGAAGGAAAGGTTAACAGGATGGGAGCCCCCAAACCAACCGTGCTTTGACACCCTTAGTGGTGTTTTCAGTCGCACGCATTCATTCAGGAGGAGCCGGCAGACAAATGCACCAACCAACGCATACTTACTCTCGTCGCGCAACATCCGGGCTCCTCCGCCCTCAGCAAACCCCACACAAAAATTCGAAGGTTGCTCTACGAAGCCAAAGGCATTCAAAGCCGAACTCTGGACATGATCCGCCAAACCCTGACCCACACAGGCTCCTGCATGCCGCCGACGTTATTCGTGGAGTGGGCGCTCTCGAGACGCATAGCTGAGTCCTGCAGTAGTCATTCGAACAGTTAGTAGGCATTTGAGATGGCATAGGGTTGGGGCCAACCAAAGCTCCAAAGCTGAAGGCCGTTTTTAAACTGGTATACCAGCGGTAGACGCCATCCCTCACCTTGAAGGCCAGCTCAGCAGCCTCAGAAATCAATGGCAGCCCAAACCAGGATGTACCCGTGACTGCATCTCACGTTTTGCGGCTTTGAAGCTGAAACCCTGCAAACAAGCTTAGATCATTGAAAGACCAATGGCAGTGGTAGAGTCGAAACTTGCGCTTTCATCAGCCTGTCAGTTTTCTCCGGGCAGTCAACAGCAGGATTCATTGTCATGAAGCTTGGGGATGTACGCCGAACATCTTGACTGCCCGTGGAGGCTTATATTGCGGGCCCTCAGCAATGCGGTCTCGCTGCTCCGAAGGCATTGCCCTCATCACCAAAACTAAATCAAGGGTCGCTCTATGTTCTTCAGACTTCATTATTCCTCTAACTCTGGCCCGCCGGCTCGAGGCTGGCTGAAGCGATACTCCCTGGCGGTGGAATTCAGCAAGACCATCCCTCAAAATGCATTGATGCTATAGAGCACTACTCCATGCTAGCAACAAAGCCAACTCCTGGTCCTAGTACAGACAAACCCGGCTGGTTTTCAATGGGCTCTGCATAACCAAGTCTCCATCCCAAACTGAGGAGACATAGCACAACTGCTGCGGCTTACAAACCTTTGTCCTGAGCCACGAATAACCCTGCAATCAAGCTGGGTCCTCCAAGCGCGCCACCATGTTGGTGACAGCGTCCTTTGCCAGATTACAAGCTTTGCACGTAGCCCCAGCTTCGTCAAACAAGAACTCACACGCCTACGATCATCAAGATGGGGCGGACCGCCAGTAAGGGGTTACAATCTTGCCGCATACGGTGTCAATGCCTTCTGCATCAGTCAAGGGGAAAACGCATTTAAGCCCTAAACCTCTTCAAGGAAGTTTCAGAACCGCATCCCACCACACCATGCCTCAGCCAAAAAACCTGTCCAACTCGTCCGCCCTAGAAAATAACCCTCAGCTCTAAGCCCCAAAAAAAACTCCCTTCAGGACCCCGGATATCCCTGGATGGTGGCCTTGAAGGAGCTGCCTCCCTCGCCGCCCTCGCCCAAGAAAGCCTCCTGCAAAGGCGGTTTGAGGATGTTTGAGGATGTAAGTATTTTGAGGTATTTTGGGTGTAGGGCTTGTGGTGTAGGTTCTCAATACAGCGAGGGGATGACATGAGTGTTGTGGGATTCGGGATAGGATTTACCGTTTAGGCGTCAGGGTTTTAGGGCTAGAGGTTTCATAGTGCTGTCAGCATTGCTGTGTCCGTGTTACGGGTACATGATCAAAAGGCTAAGCCTGAAGGTTGGGTGTTGATTGAGCCAAGGGATGCTAAGGGTTCATGGTGGTCATGAGCAGCTTCTTCATTGCATCGCATCACCAGGTCCCTTGAGGGCTATGAAGGTTCCTCAAGCAGCGCCTGAGAGCAGGGCATAGCATACCAAAGCTTTTGAAAAGGCATGAAACTCTTCATCCCTGAACTCCCCAAACCACCAAGTCTTGAGACCCTCCGACTGCCCCTTTCAGAGCTCCTGGATCTTGCCCATCTGCTTCAGAATGACATCGCGAATCTGCATCTCCATGTTCCTCAAGTCACAGGATGCAGACTTTGCAGGGCGTATGTAATTCTGGGCGTCCGTGGCTCGTGCATGCGAGCCAGTGTGATGCCGAAATAGTCCCATCACACCCGCCGGATGTGACTACCTAAGCCTGAGTAGATCTGTGCCTAGCAATGGTCGCGGGACAGCCGTCTCAGCTAATCTGTAGCCCTTCCTTATTGTGCGTCAGAATCCCAGGTGCCAGGGCGTGCTTGGTAGCGACTGCTAGAAAAATCACGACATCCAAAAATCATCCACCCCAAGCCCCCTAAATCTTCAGGCCCGAAACCTAACATGAGAAACGGGGAATCGGAAATGCCATACCAGCCGCTAGACACGTTAAGGGATGATGACAGGTTGTCAGCGGTATGCAGTTCAGTTCCGTCACAGTGAATCTGTGAACCTTACAGCATCAGGGTGTCTGGGGGCTGGAGATCCAATCAGCCCTCGCAAAATTCAAGAAAGCCCTGGCTTTGAACCAGCAAGAAATCGCCCAAAACAAACCGTAAACCCCAACATGTGGTCAGGGAACGCTGCGGAGTCACGCATGATCTCCGAGCGAGTGAAGCTCTGCAGGGACCTTTTCAAATCACAAAGTGCATTTGATTTCCCAGCGGTGTGAAAATGTTGTGCCATGCGGTTTTGCCACCAAATCAGAAGAAATAAGGGTCGAAATCGGGGCTGTTGTTGAGATTAGGAAGATACACTTCAGAAACTGCGCACTCCTGTTTCTGTGTGCTCGCGATTCCTGTGAAGAATGTTAGGATCAACAACAATGAACAGCCACAAAAAAAATCCTATAACAAGGAGGGACATCATGAACCCTGCAGCCACTGGAAAACTGAGCCCTATCTGGATTGTAAAGATCACAAAGCGGGACATCAGGAGCTTTTGGGGTTCCCCATAACTGATTTGGGCTTCCCAGCGAATCTGGACAGAAGTGTGGCTTCTCGGAAGGTTTTTCAACGCGAGGTTCACACTGACGCCAACACAGCCCAAACTCCAAAACGTCCGTGAGACCTCCCCGTTCCATCTCTTTATAAGTCACAACCAAAACTTCAGAATCTGACTTTTTGTTGCATATCCGCACCAGGCACTCCTCCACTGAAGTTTTCGTCACAAAATGACTGACAACCTGTACCTGTACCTTCGGATGCACGACCCGACATCACTGAACTCGCGAAGTGCAAGCCCACGAGAACCGCAAAACCACCTAAACCCAGAGCCACATGAACCCTGACTTGAAGCATCCACAAATGAGGCGCATAGTGAAGCCCAAGCACTCCCTTGGTCAGAGACGATCAACAATCTGGAGCCAAAAAATGTTGGGTCCCTCAGGGCTTCTAAACTGCAAGGCTAAAGATACGCCTCTACATCGTGAACTGTGCGGACTGAAATGAGATGGGTCGAGGAACTCTGCGCTGCTGTGCATCGTCTCCTGAGCCTGAGTCAGCAGGTCCAAAATCATCATGTTCCTCGGTGGCTGTGTTTTACCCATCAAGATACCGGAGTGCTCTATATTGCTCGATGTTTTGCGTCTTTGGCTTACTGTAGGGTTCAGTACATGGGGTCCGGGACTTAGCATTTGGGGCTTCGTCTTCGTATTGTTGTTGGTGCTCTTCCAGATCCGGAAAACGAGGGGGAAAGTAAGGCCGGCTCGGGCAAGGAAAAGAATACATAGCAACTCATTCATTTGAAAACTAGTTGCTTGTACAGTGGTGTTTAGGGCTTCAGGCTTTAGGATCTGGGAAGCTTGGGACCTTTGCCACGTCGGTCATATGACTACTGGTCAAAACCACATGCCTCGCGTGAACGTCCCTTCCGGACCCCTGGATCGGGGTCTGGATCAGGATGTCCGTTTCCCATTGTTCCGGACGAATTATATTGAGCGGTAGCCATGTATCTAAGTCGTTGCACAAGCGGGGTTATCATCAGATAGGTATACATCCTTACAAAAACACAAGCCCCTCAAAGGCTGCCCTCATTCTGCAACCCCCCTTGGGTCTGGAGTTTCTGCTAGAAATCGCATGTTTCAACCAATTCTGGACAGTGAGGCCAAACGCTGGAAGTGTCGAGTTTGAGGGTCTACCTGAAGGGCTGCGCTGCACATGTGATTTATAAACGTGCGCCTGAAAGTAGCACGGACCTCCTGGGTCCTCACTGCAGCACAAGGCTTTGGCGAACCACTGCCCGGGACCAGAAGCACCAAACCGCGCCATCTGCAACTCCATAGCTGACTGGGAATCACACATAGGATGCGCTGAGAAGCTTCGGGCGTCTTGCATTTTGTGTGGGGCTTAGCGCAGACGGGCGTAGAGCTTGAGCTTGGCATATCATGA